ACCTATTTTAAGAGAAATTTATAAAAAATCTTGTACAGAAACTCGATAGAATCAATATCTTTTTTTTTTGTTTGAAAGACGATAGAATCAATATCAAGCTCGAGTAATAAGAAAACTGCATCTATAGTTCTATACAAAGGATCTAAGGTTGGTAAGAAAAGAGAGAAAGAATCTCTTAAGTGTTCAAGAAAGAATTAAATCCTTTTTGGAGAAAAACTAAGAAGGAAACTTGGTATCTAAATTCCGTACGCAAAACTCACTTTTCGGTAAAATTATATAGTATAAACCTCCACATTTCGAGAAGCAAAAAGAAAAAAAAAACCGGTGGAAGAAAGGGAAGATCAGAATTAAAGATCAAGGAGGCAATGAGTATGGTTAGTGATTCGATGGTCCCGATTCACCCAAGTTTAGAAAACATGAACTCTCCGGTTATCTCTAAGATTTGTGCATGGGGAATAATGTTAGGGCTCATTGGGGTTTCATTTCTCGCCATGGCTTATGCTTGCTATGACAAGCACAACGCTTCGATACCAAGCAATGGAGAGCAAGAGAAACTAGGAAAGAAGCAAGTATTGAAGCCGCTAGATATGGAACCAAAGATTGTTGTTATAATGGCTGGTAATGAAAACCCTACCTTCTTTGCTAAGCCAACAAAGATCCATGCATGACCTGTATTTGTCTTTTTCGATCAAGTCCAAGCTCGATAGATAAGTGTTTTACTGTTTTGAGTTTGTTTTTTTAATTGGTTCAATCCTTATGATGAAACCACGTTATATACTGTGATTAGTATTTTATCGATTTGTTTATATTTAACATTTGCTAATCTATTATATAAGAGTGAGTGAAATCTCACAAGGGTGTGATACCTCAACATCTCTCTTTCAGCATATCATCTTGACAGTGTATGTTCATGCTATTGTCATATCACCTTCGCACATCAGCAATTTTCCATGTCATCAATCTTCATAATCCAAAGTCAAAGATCATGTTTAATACAAATAAACGTGTTACAATAAATTCCATCAAAGAGAATTTTCTCTCTTTCCCCAAAATTTTAACTTTCTAGGCCTTTTCAAAGCCGCTAACTCTTTCTGAGCAGCACCATTACATTAGTTTCATCTTCGAAAGTTTGTTCATCTTTATTTCTAAGAGGTTGTATGTACCCCTTGCTTTCTTCCTTTACAGTTTTGCTTCGGCTACTCTGATATTTTCTTTTTTTCCACTCCGCGATTTATTCATCGACTTCTTTCTTTGCCTCCCGTTTCGATTTCGCAAAATTAATGTCTTTTTCGAATTTGTCTTCCTCTTATCCTTCAGGTCTTGCGTCGCTCCATCTAACTATTCTCAATCTTCTGAGGAGGATATCTTGACGGTTCTTGGAGCTCATATTTTGAATTCTCCCGTTCCTAGTAAAATTCCTTTTGTGGATACTCTTCCATGAAACCAATCCTCCTCCTTTCTTCTTATTTAGTTTGTTGCTTCTCTGTTGCTACCTTTCGCACATTAACCCTCGATTGTCTAAAGCGTCTTTCGCAAGCCTGGACACTTTACCCATGCGACCATATTATCCAACGCCCAGAGTCATCTCTCAAATTCGGTCGGGGGCTTCTCAACTTCCCATAACCCATGTCTTACCTGTTTGTTTGGGCCATTGTTGATTCGGTCCAAACTTCTTTGAGGCCATTGTCGAAGGGTAAGCTCTACCTATGGAGTTAAGGGTCTCCATATATTGTGGACGATTTGTTTAATCTAATAAAAATTATTTTATCCCCAACACAGATCTTAATCTAGCTTGTGTAGATAAAATTTTGTAGTTATTCAGAGATGTTTACAACAACACTAGGTGACTCACCATGTTATACGCGAGATAATATATTTAAAAATAAATTTCATTAAATTTTGTATTATGCTTAAATGGTAGATACACTTCTAATATATCATATTAAAGTATTTAATCCAGTTTGTAATTATCTATGTCATACTTCAAATCTTATAGATGAGCGAATTCCCAAACCAAATTAGTTTCTGTTTTTTTACTTATTTTTTAGTTTAAATATTATTTGTCCAATACTTCCTCTAAAAAGAATCTCCACTACGGTACAGTTTCTCATCCGATAGATCCATTTTAATTTTCATAGCAAGTGTATGATTTGTTATAAATTTATATTTATTTTTTTCTGATAATCGAATACATATGGACGTTTGTCTCCATTTTTTACAATTTTTCATAGCTGAAATGACAATCTAACTCAAATATGTTTTTAATGTTAAAGAGTTGTAGATAAAAAAATTTCATAAATGGAAATGTGTTTAATTAATGGAATCAATTTTTTTTAATACATGATATCTTTATTTTTCGCCTGTCTCCATTTTTTTTATAATTTTGTGGGGGGGGTGGGG